CCCAATGGCAATTGAGACATAATCATAGCCTTACAGACACTGATGGGAAATCTTCTCCAGTGTGTCACGGTAACTGGAATACAATCCATGGCTAAATGAACAATGAGGGCTCATGTCAGCATTACAATGCCCCTTGGTGTAAGTCACCAGTGAGAATTTCTGAAGAGTACTTAACTCATGTATGTGTTCTCTTTACTCCTGACCCTTAAGCATTTAGTCAGCCTGTTTACTACTGCTTAGGTCTTGATTACCCCCCTCCTGAAGCCAGTGGAGTTTTGCCATCAGCTCCAAAGGACACAGGTTGTGAACCTCCTAGGAATATGGCAATGACGAGGGTTTGTCCCAAGAGTTCATGATCTAGAAACGTTCATGTTCTGCTCCCTGTGAGATGAGGAGCTATGGAAAAATATAACATTCTCTCTGCCGGAGTTCAGTAGTATTTCTTCTTAGCACCTAGGAGGGTCTTTGCATTTTTAAGTGCTTTACAAACATTAGCTAGTCTTCAGAGCAACCCTGCGAGGTAGGTAAAGTATATTCTCCCCATCTTACAGATGTGGAAACTGAGACACAGAGGGTCAAATTCAACCCTGGTACAATTCCAGTGTTTTACATGAATTAAATTCATTCAAAATGAACACAGTTTAAACAACTTGCCCTAGATTACAGAACAGGTAGTGGCAAAGCAGGGACAAGAACCCAGGAGTGCCTGACTCCTCAGCTTGTTACTGGCCACTTAGTCATTTTTACTCTCACAGGCAATGAAAAACAGTATAATCTGGGCAATTACTACAGGTATGATTTGCTTCTGTAAGGCATGTGGATGGTAATCAACTGAGTTAAGTGCAGTAATACTTTATGAATGTGCTGCCTCAGAGAGTTTAATTAAACATGAAGTAAAACTTTCATACTGTCATTTTCTGCAGGTGCACTGTTGACAAAAACCCAACATAGTAGCTGGATTCAGCAAATAAATAATAAGCACAACACTTGGACAGCTAAGCAAAACTATCATTTTAGCAAAAAACAATGTGTTTCTACTTTTAACTGCTAAATTTCTACAAGTGCAGCATGCAGATGAAACCTTTCCCTTTGTTTCCAGACTGCAGACTCCAGTCTTGCTAACAAAGCAACTCAGAGCTGCACAGATATCCTGTATGGTGGCATTCAAATGAATGCACTGCAGAAGAAGAAATAGCGTATCACCACAGAATACGGGATAATTACTACAGACCAGGTACATCAATCTTACACGAAGATGAGCTTGAAGCTTACAGGTTACTCGGAAGGGCCCAGAAGCTAGGCTTATTGAATATATGCCCATGTGTAGACTGCAGTTCTAGGCACATGCTGATTGCAAGGGGGGTGTCCGTGCCACCAACACTCTGGGAACTGGCCCCATTGACAGTCAGTTCACATTGGCACAGGTATGTCAGTCTGAAGGTCAGTGTTGGCCAAGGACGGAAAGACACATAGGCATTTTCAGGCCAGCCCCTTGTGCTTCAGTCCTCACCTTGTCCCTCATCCCCACGCAAATTCTACCACAAAAGGCCTGAAAAGCCTTTTTGGTTTTAAAGATGAGCTGTAGAGTCCACAGCGTAGACCCTATGGCAGGTACCCAGGCAATAAAAACATGATGACAGGTACTTATGCAAAAAAGTTTGTTTTCTAGGATGTCCTTATGCATCTAGTCTGCAGGTTAGACCTCCTGTCTAAGCTCTGGACATGCTTACAGATGTTCAGCCTTGTGTGCTTTCACACCAAAAAGAGATCCCGCTCCCTTACAAGCCACACAAGTGCTGACATTCACTTTTACATGAGCAAATTAAAACACTACAATTATAGATATCTTGTTCCACATTTAACCTCTTTAACTCAGTTTTGTTCTGTCCATATTTATGGAGACTGGCTATTGGACATGGCAAATGGAGCAATTATCTACATACATGTCCTTCACTGAATAAACACAGACACTCAGGTAGCATTTCCCTAGATATTCTCCACACTTATTGTAACTTTTTAATTTGTAGCCACATTTTAAACAGACAAACAAACAAACATTAATTAGAACTCCTAAAATCTAATCACATCTCCCTGTACCCATTCACTCCTGATTCATACAGCCTGCTTACAGTGGCTCAGAGAGCAGTACTTGTAACCAGCATTTACAAATATTTCCATGAAGTGCTCAGGCCCATACACATGCCTCAACATTTTGCCAATAGAAACTTTTAAATGAAGCAATGTTCTTAATACCAGAGCCAGGTACCAAATCTGCAGCATGACAGGGGCTCACAGGCAACTCTTAGAACAGCAGTAAGATTCCAGTAAAATTGCAGTTGGTTGCAATCCAACCTTTATACCGTTATCTGTCGTTGAGATATATATAGACGACCCTGTGTGGCCTAGCTGCAAATATCAAATGTATTTTTACAAGTTAGCAACAGCCTTTTTTGACATTGCCTCTTGAGATGTCCTCTACATTGTGACTGACAAGCACAAATATAATCCATTATACATTATACTTTAAAAGCCTTTTTTTACGTGTGGCTTTTACTGTTGCTTGTTTCTGAGCTGTCTTCTACTGCTGAGATTTGCTGTCCCTGGCCTTTTTGATTTCTTTCTTAGTTTTTAATTGCTGGTTGGCCATGCTCGTGGCATCTCCCAGGCAAACTCCTTCTACATAATTAGTTTTGAAACGTGGATGAGTCATTGGGCTCTAACTACTATGCCTCTATTATTTTAACTTGAATACAGCACATCTCAAAGATTTTGCCCTCTTTTTACAGTTGTGGAAATTCATAGGATGACATCGTTGCAGGTCTTGATCCATTTGCTTTCTATTGTGAGTTTCCATGTTTTTTTCACAATATAAAGCACATTTCAAAGCATAACAGTGTTGTGAACCAGCCTCCTCTCCCAGAGGTGCAGATCATTTTCTGCTTTATTGGCAGCTGAATAAAGCAATGCCACATTTATGACAAAAGTTAATGAAAATATGTAAAATTAAAAATATTTCATGTAGTTTTCATTTTCTTTTAATGCAGGTTGGCAAATGAAAACAGAACACAGACAGCCACACAGGGCCATGCTGTTTTTTATGACCCATCGGTGATAACTCAAGAGGCCGCAGTTTGGGAACTGCTGTTTCAGAAAATTCTAGCCAATCTCTTTAAGAGACCGCATGTGAGCCTACCACAAATTATACACTAGCAGAACTGTGGCTGAAAAAGAATATGTATTTTTCTTAGGCCATTCCTATCATTCGCTGAGAATCTAAAAGATCCAAACCATTATAGTTAAAATGGCTTGAGATAAAAGATAAAATGAAGTGGGTGTAATTTTCTTTTAGCTTATGCACTTTCATAGGGACATTTTCACAAAGCTGACATTGGTACAGGACATATCAATTATTGGTTTCTGTGATGATTCTGACCCATATTAAGGATTTGACCTCGTAATCCCTAGCCATAGCCCTTCCTATATTCCCGTTACAAACAACGGGGCTTTGTCTTACAGAAGAGTATGCGACTGGACTCAAAACATTTTCTTGGGGTTCAGATGCCATGTCCATGAAAACAGGAGAGACCCAAGCAGAAATGTATTTCCACAACAGGGGCAAAGAAGCTGAGTTAAAGAGCCACTACACTGTTGTACAGTATGACACCAGCATTTCCTACGGAAGTACCACCCTTCTTTCTGAAAATGGGGTGTACAAGCAGTTTCTCACCTGAACTTCAAGTTGTAGCCCCCTTGTGTAAATTATTGCATACTTGTTACTTGTTCTGTTAGACAAAATCAAAATGCATCTGTTTAAAATCTGCTCATAGTTTACAAAAATGTCTCTTTATATAGAGAGTAAGTTCAATCTATAGTTAGCTGTTTGTCGTATGAGAAGGATAGTACCTGGGTTGCTGTGAAGATACTGCTTTGGAAAATATCTCCTAATTCTTGGTTTTGAACTCTCCCAAAGTTTCTGAAAGAGGACTTCAAAACGCCCAGCCGCAGCCACAACTAATCAAAATAGGAAAAGGTGCAGAATGAGAAAGTGCCAGTATCCAGTACTTGTAGAGCCAGCTTTGAGGTCCTGAACTCAGATTCAGCAGTACCTTATTGTGCAACTAATTTTAGGATGGTAAATCTGACAGAGTGCTCTAATTAAAGAGCAGAAGAAACCAGTTCCATGTAATTCTTTAAAAGATCCAGAATGAGATCTCACGCATCAGTTACTCTCTTTACATCCACAGAACTCCCATCGAGCTTGGCAGGGGCTTATAGAAAGTCTGGCATCTGACTTTGACTCTAAAGGGCTGATTTGGGGGTGATTTACCGGGGAAGATAAAGGGGCCCCTTAGCAACCCCCTTAACACAACAGATGTTCCTGACGTGCTGGGGGAAGAGCCGTGCCATTATGCAGTGCCCTTCTTCTCCCCCTGCCCCCGCTCCAAATTAGTTTGACCCCTTTCTGGTTCAGTTATTTTACATATCCCTCTATTTTATTTTAGTATCCGAGTGGCTGCACCAACCACTCACTGCCTGTCTAATTAAAGTCTCTCCATCAACTGGTAATTCTGTAATAATTCACAGCTGTTTTTCCTCTCTCTGTTAAATCTATTGTTCCCTGGCTGAAAAGGCTGCGAGACCTTAAAAACTATAGATAGCTATCAATTTGTTTGCATTTAAAATCCAGTATGTGGCTGCAAAGGCCTGTTACAGTATCACAGAGGAAGATAAATGTCAGTGCATAATCTGCTAGGAAATTTCACACAGGAGTTGATTAAAAGTCTATGAGTAATCATTGCACAAGTGTCTTCAGGTGTATATATATACACACATATATATGTAGCTAATAAATATGTAGCTAGATATATACATATATATGTATATACAGAGCTAGTTTAAACCTAATTGTTATGAAATTAGTAAGTGGCATTCACATTTCATGCATTCTTCCTAGTAGCAGAGCTAAATTATTTCAGCTTATACTCTAAGCAGCAACATACCAGTAAGCGTTTGCTTGCTTCCCCTGGTAACCTAGTAGTTTAAAGAGCATGAGCAGTTCCGCCATGGTCATTTTCTCTGGCAACCACCCGCGAAAGGGACCTGGCTCTTCCACAGGTGTGTTTCCCCCAGGTTTCACAGCATCTTCAGGACATGGTGGGGCCAGTCTGAGGGTCGCCAGTGTGAAGGTCATCAGCCTGACGGTCTCCAGCCCAAGGGTCACTGGTATGGTGGTCGCTGTCCCAAGGGTCGCCGGCCCAGCTAGTCCTGCTTGCAGAGGTCTGCGACGTTGAGGAACCTCCTGACGACCATGGCCAGGCAGAGCGTCAGGAGCAGCATATACCCCACGGTGCCCAGGTAGGTGGGGGCGGCTAGGGGTCCCTTGAGGAACTCGGCCAGCCCATCCTCCACGTAGTGCACCTGGTCGTAGATGCTGAGGAAGGTGAAGATGTGGAAGAGCTGGTGGCTGTGCCCCACGATGTCGAAGAGCCCCGGGTGGATCCGCTCGGGGATTTTGCTGACGTTGAAGAAGGCGGCCACCAGCAGCCAGCAGTAGCGCCGGTAGAAGTAGATGAAGAGCGTGGGGTTGCGGGTGCGGAGGTCAAAGAGGAGGCTCTCCAGCATGATGGGGCAGGCCATGCTCAGCGGCATGGCAAAGACGAAGGTGCGCACGGCGAAGGGGTAGGCGCAGCAGGCGGCGCGGCTGCGGCAGCAGGCGGCTGTGCAGCCCACGGCCAGTGCCAGGGCCACGGGCAGCACCAGGGCACGGTAGGCCGCGATGGGCAGGCTGCAGTCCAGCTGCCAGCCCAGCTGCTGCTGCATGTAGCGGCTCATGGCGCTGGCGTCCAGCAGGCTCAGCCCTGGCAGCAGGTAGTAGGAGTAGGCCACGGTGCTGGCAAAGCCGTAGTAGCTGATGGAGGCGTAGTCCAGGTAGAAGAAGGCGGCGCGGAGGCGCGGGGAGAGGCAGCTGAAGAGGTGGGCCGTGCAGCTCATGGCGAAGGTGAGCAGCACCCCCGAGGCGTAGCACCAGAGGGGCAGCAGGGCCGGGTGGTGGAAGGGCACGTCCCCGGCGCCCCGCAGCAGCAGCAGCCGCCCGAAGCGGCTGAGGAAGAGCAGCAGCGGGATGAAGTGGGTCCAGAAGTTGAGGGTCTCGTTGGTGGGCTGCAGCACCGAGGCCAGGCACTCCTGCGCCGAGCAGTGCAGCCGCCGGGAGCCCGA